GTCGGGAGAATAGTCCCTTTTCGCCACTCTTTTAGCTAGGTGTGTAGTTGGCACGAGGTGCGGTAGGGCATACTCATTCTACTCTTCCTCTTAAATCCTCTGTGATTAATGAGGTTTAACTGGTCAAAGTTGACCTGAAATGACCTCAAGTGAAGCTAACTCAGTAAATATCTTCTACTTACTCGAAACCTTAAAACGAGGCATCCACCAGTTCACTGTTTGCTATATATGGCGGTGCAGGTTCAAGTGGACTCAAGACTAGCTTAGATTTATTAATTACATCGTCCGACAGTCTACATCAAATCTTCCTAGTGTACTATGGTCGAAAAGGTGAGAAACGGCTACTTTAAATGCGCATTTGAGATTTGTGATAACCCCTTAAGTTGTCTCGGAAATTTTGTTAAGCCATGAACCAATCAGTAACTTAGGTTATTTCTTATCAACAACGCGATAGTCGGCACCCTAACATCTACCCATCGGCACAAACGTGAAGTCATTTAACCTCTCTCAGAAATGACGAATGCGTCTTTGTAGAGGTAAGCCGTCGCTTAGAGGTGTTCCTTCAATCCACTGGGCTTCTTTGTCGCAGGTTACATACTTGTTTAGGATTTATTGCAAAGACACAAACCCAAAATCTAACACATCATAGTGGCAATGGGTTTTGTGACACAGACAAGGATTCAAACTAGGTTTCAGTGGCTCGTTTCAATGGTGCTATTCGTATAACGATCAGTTGGCGTGTTTGCATTACTTTGAGCATGCGTTCCGCCATGCATTTTTTGTTCTCAGGAAAACATCTAGGTAGCAAATGGAAGAAGAGAAAAATTACCTTAAACTAGAAACATCTCTACTGTTTGTAAGTTTGTTTTCAGGTAGACAATGCTACTTCTGATTAACATATCGCCTGATACCCGCGCAATCTCCTACCACATAACTAACTACCTCGAAAAGTATACTATCAAGGTAATTGAGCCAGATTATAAAAACTGACAGTTACATGAAAGGAAGATACTTTTATGAAAGGTAGAAAAGTTATTTCTGGTGTCAATTAACTTCTAAATCATGATAAAGCCTCAGCCCCAAATCCTGGTCGCTCAATAAGTGCAGTCTTAATGCCATCCCAGTCGTTCGAAAGCATCGCAGATTAGAAGAAGTAAATTTACTTCCCTGAGATGACCATTAAACACATCACTTTTATTAGGATTTGTCTTGTTTTAAAAACACGAAATTGTTGTGCGTCTTACTGATGGTCAACGCCTCGACTTTTCAAAAGTAAGGTGGACGGGGGCTTTAACTAGATATAGCTTTTGCCATATTTGAAATATCTTAAAGATGGATCGACTGTCAAACCTTTAATGCATTATTTTGCGGTTTATTAAGTCAACTTTGAGTCTTCAAAATACATCTAAGACTTGACAACAGAGACCACTAGAATGGATTGTACATCACCGGACATTGCAGTTACCTTATTCAAGTCCCAATCTAATAGCCCCTCAGTTGAGAGTTTTACTCGACAAAAACAGTAAAATGAAATGGATAAGGGAAATGATCTGATTGGTCATTGCTAATTTATAGCTTCTAAAAAAGGGAACGCTTGTAAATTCCATCTACAAGGTGGGTTGGGAAACCCAAAATAAAAGTCACAAATTCAATTCTGTCATTTACTTCACCTAGCCTTTTTGTTTTTGAGGAACTTAACAGTCCATCCTTTCTAAAGGATTTCAGATCTTTAATATTTAAATTGAATTAGGGCTCCTTTCCTTTTCAAAGATATTTTCTTAGAGACACAGAGAACAAGATATGCTTGGTAGCACGGTTATTAAAGGGAATGTTAAGGGAAAGTCCTGCATACCCTGCTCACTCTCTTGTTGGTTTGTACAATCTAGGCACGAGTGGTAGACGACATTTACGAATAGGTTACCTCTGATATTTGGCCTCCTAGTTTCCTTAATTTTCACCTCTTAGACAACTATGTTTGAAGAGTCGATGAGGTCACCAAATAGTTTGCCCACAATATCGAGGACTCCTCGATGTTCATCACCAACACTTTGGCTGCTAGCATCAAAAATGCGTGTTTTATGTTCTCTATCAGGCTGTGACAAATGTTTCAGCTAAATTTCATCTCAAATAGTTAAATTTATGAACAAAATTAGCGGTTATTAGTGCCATATTAGAATTACAAAACGCCTTGCAGGCTGTCAACGATTTTTTTCTAGGACCTTGATAATATGCATATTTTCATTTATCTTCCAATTGAATTTTGGTTCTCATAGTAAAATTACTTTTCACTTCAAATGGTTCAGAATTCGCGAAAAGGAGTTAAGCACAACAGCGTAATGTTGCACGATCACACACATACAGCAGGGAAGCAGTCAGATGAGTTCGTGGAGGAGAGCGGAGTGCAAAAAGCTGTCCACCAGACCCTTTTACTCCATTTCTCCCGCTTCCTCTCCCTCCAAATCCCACAGCTTCGCTCACCAAGCAGGAAGGAAAAAGGAGAGGGGAGAGAAGAGAGACGGGAACCCTGGGTGATTGGGGAGGGGCGAAAGGAGGGGCGGGACTTTGTGCCCTCCTCCTCTTCCTACTCCTGCGACCAAACTTCGGAGGAAAAATCCCGCTTCCTTTCAAGCCCAAGCATAGGTGAGTGGGCTCGCGCACCCCTCTATCTACCCCCTTCCCTCCATCACTTCGCGTGCATTGGAGGCTTTTTCTTCCTCTACTTGGCTCTACCTACTTGCGTGTGTGTTAACGAAATCAGAACACAAAACACAAAGCAGACATGCTATAGTCGTGCTATTTACGCTTCTCCTTTTAAATGCTAGATGTTTTAAAACGGCTCACGATGTATCAACACGTTGAGACCTTCCAACATGGCTGTGCAGTACTTTGATTAAACCACCTTCTCCATATTTTTCATTCTTATAAAAGAGTTTAAGATGAAAAGCATCTTGGGTTTTCTACATCAGAATAGAAAAACACAACTCGTGAATATTTCGATGACTCTTGGCAGCCGTTTTCTCCGAAAAAATCACCTTCTTGTGCTATTAATGGGATGAACTTACTTCATAAATAATTATTACAACAGTCACTAACTTGTTGGTACTTTCCATCTAGTCGAAATGGCTGTCTCTCCACGATCTTAAACTCACTCCGGGTGGGTGGTCATACATGGTGAATATTTACATATCGGTAAATTTGAATTCTGTGGAACACTTTCCATTTTCACACTTTATCGCCTTCCTTAGAGCATCAGTGTGCCTCTGTCAAGACACTTTTGACCGGCTTAGGAGATGCTACGAATTGACACGTTTGCTAATAGGGTTGTATAAGGAAGTCGACTACCATAACCCTCGAAAGATGCATCCTTTGAAAGGTTAATGTCATGTTTAGCGAGATTTCATTTGGAATAAAAACTAAGGCTTCAGGGAAATGGGTGTTTAATGTCGACTACGTACGAACAATTCGAGCATGATTCCTGCTCCAATGATAAGTCATGAGTCCCATTCCTTCGTATTTCTGGTGTTTTGTCATCTGTAGCCCGACCGAGGATATTAGCACATCCAATGTGGAACTACGTGATGATTGACCATTCAAGGAGGACTCAGTGAGAATACTAATTGTGGAAAGTCTCGGAGAGGTCCAGAAGGGGGAGCTAGTATAAAGTTCCAGATCTCAAAACCAGAAACATTACTCCTGGAGTTGTAGTCATTCCTAGCAGTTATGCCTTTTAATAAGTGCAACTGTTCCTTTATCAAGAATACTCTAAATCACAGAGTATTTTAGACAATTTATTAATTTAAATACCATTTGGGCAGCCAAATTTTGTAAACTGACCGAGTAGACACACCATTTTTGTACGCTAGGAGAAAAATACTAACAAGACTAAACAGTGGTCTTACTCATATATTCAGTCTGTTACGCATCTTCCAGTAATGACTTGTATTTTCCACCGAATTCGAGTAGTCTGCAGTCGTCAGACTCATTATTTTACCCGTGGTAGCCAGACGAATTGTTCTAACCCTGTGGGCTGAGTTAAAAAGGGCGCATGGTTCAAACGATTCTTCTTTTAAGGCTCAGGTTCTAACGGAAGAGAGGAAGAGAAGGGAGGGATAGGAGAGGAAAGGAAAGGAACAAGCAAAAGAGGTATTTTAAACTCGAATAGTAATTTGAGAATCCAGCCCGGGGTACAAACAGTTCGAAGTGTATGATCAATTCTGTTTGATAATGCTATTTGAAAGGGGAATTTTGGCTGAAATTTTTACTGAAGTAGGGTGGAGGAGGGGCTAAAGTGACCTAGACGTTGAACAGTTTTGTGGCAGGCGAAAGCAGCGCAATAAGTGATGCATAAAGGCGATACTACTGCTAATACTAATGCAGGGGACTCTGGTTTTCGCATGAGTAAGCAAAGGAGCTAAGGCCTTAGGAGACTGAAGAAAAACTTTGATCCTCTAAGCGGCGGGAGCTGAGACTCACACATGCACAAGGGGTGGTCTATACAGAGACTTCATCCAATGCTTTTAGGAAAAAGGCATTTTATAAAATACCCTTTTTGGTAAGGGGCTTGAAAGTGGGGTTGGGCTGTGGCGTAGATACATTGTAAGGGAAGGGCTTTCACACGTTGTGTTGCTTGCATCCAGTTACGAGGGTACTTTTCATGGGAAAATCAAACGATTTCAATTATCCAACACCTTCGTTCGACAATCCAGAAACCTTTGCAGGTGTATTTGTGTTTCTATGTGTAGATGTGCGTGTTACCCCATTTCCACACCTAGGTGTGTGTGTGCTTGCGCTAACGACACCTGTCAAGCACAGAGGGGAGGGTGAGGCGAAGGGAGCATTGGGAGAGGAAGGAAGAGTGATAACCTGGTGATCATTATGTTACCAGTTTTGTCTCCTATCCCGGACACGGGCAAGCGCAACCAACCTCCTCTCCTCCTGGAGGAAACAGTGGTTACAGCAGCCCCAAAATATGTCCTTCATTCTGTGGTGAAAATAGGATTTTAATGGCACATAACACACTGATAGCTACTTTTATGAAACAAATTTAAGGTGTAAAATCCATTATTAAAATTGCACTTCAACTCTTGAAGCCATTTTTTGGACAGTCCTGCATAATTGTGACATTTGCCTCCAATTAGAAACAGCACTGGAAAATTCGTCCTGAAATGTGAGGTATTAAGGCAAATTTTATCCAAGATTAAAAAGCAATAGTTTGATCATTTAGCCGTTAATATAATTTAATACGATTTACAAAAGTAATACGAGATAAAATGATATGATTTGGCGGTGAATTGGAACACCTTGACAAACGGAGCGAAAGTTAAATCAAGATCAAATAATGGCTAAAAATTCTCAAGACCGTTTACCATTGTGGGGATGATGGAAGGATAAATACTAAGACTTTAATAAGCGTCACTTTTTGAATGAGATCACATGTTTATAATCTTATCGGTACGGTAACCAAGGCTCTGTCTTCATGTGAGAGGAAATTGATACCCTACAAATCTTAGTTAATTCGATGGTGGCGTGCTTGGTGAACCCAAAAGGCAGTTTTATAAAGAAATAAAATCAAATGCTTTATATCCGTAACACTTGATAAGATTCACACGAAATAAGTAGTGTCAAATGCTCTCTTACTAGAAATTCGGAGCAGCTGACCTGAGATGCATACCAGTGAGAGAGGATTAACCTGAGACCCTTCATAATTGCATCCCTCCTCAACAGGATTAGTTCGGAGATCATTGATCCCTACCCAAATCAGCTTCTTCAATTCGATCACCTTGTCATGTTGTAACTCCCCCATTTCACCCCTCTAAACCCAGTGTACATACTTTCCGCCTTTAAACGTGTCTATGATTCCCTTGAACATTACTACGATTTCAGTCAAAAAAAACTAAATGATAAGTGAATTCGGCATTCCAAGGGCTGGTTAGCCGGATTTTGACACTGATTTGGCTGGTAGCTTTAAAATCTCCCAGAAACGCGGGCCTGTAATAGCGTTTACATCTACCCAACCGCACCCACAGACGATCGCAAATAGCCTCCTCCCCTCCGCTTTATTTCCCCTCTTTCGGTGTGCGTGTATGCGAGTGCGTGTGTGGAAAGGCCACCGGCATCACTCATTCCTGCTCTCCCTCTGCCTGTCTTCTTTAATTAACTGGGTAGCCTTTCGTCTTTTCTCGCCTTGGCGTGGAAACCATTGGTGAGATAGAAGGAGAGAGCAGGAAAGCTACCATCAGTGTGTTGACTGGTGTTGTGAAACAACATCAAACCCTCGAAAGACGCATTCCATCAATGGTAAGGGCGCCTTCACCCCCTTAATTACTCGTATGCCACCTGCTTTATTAGGTGTGTAGGCAGGTTCTCAGGCTTTTCCAACTAGAGTGTCTATAGCTGAATAGCAATCATACATTTTAGAAAATGGGTAACTCCTCATTTTACCCAAATTTTTACAGCAATTGGCACCTTGACGGCCACAATGAATTATGCCTCTGATTAGTTAAGGACTGTAGATTTGAAATAAGCTAAAATGTAATCCAAAGGCAAGCAATTCATTTCAAAAATAAGTTTACTTTAGGCGAAAAAAATAGGTTAGGTACGACAAAGTAAGTACCGCCATAACCCTTTTCATCTCAAATCACTTAACTTGAATTGTCCTTTGGTGAGGCTGAGAGGACCCCTAAATCATGGTGCTAATGCCCTTAAACAGAGATTCTGAAGTGTTTTGACTGCCAGCGATGTGTCTGATAGAAGGATAGAAGATACTGTAACTAGAGACGACTCCGAGTGAAGAAAAGCTGGTCGGATAACAACAGTAGGAACAGGTATGGAAGAGTAGATTTTTTACTAGAGTGGCCTAATTTAAAGGTGAATCTAGTAAATTTGCATGGGGCTGTGTGATATATTTTCGAGTGTGTGAAGTTTCAAGATGATAGCAACCAGTAAACTATTCAGTGCAGATTGACGAGTGCTAAGTAATGGGAGAGACGTGTGCTTGAAAATGGGCACAAATTAGACAAACTTTTGAGTGACCTAGCGTCAAAAATACTTTCAAACGTGTAAGACAATAATAAAGTGAGGAAGGCGTTTTATTTATCAATAAGTCTGGAATTTATGGCAAACGAGGCAACCGTTCGAATGAGGACAATTTTTCCCACACAAACGCCACTAACGATGCCGTAAAACTATGGCAAGTTATCCTCCACATCATTCACTCATTCCTCCGCTGGTCAGGAGTGCTTTGCAAGTGGGGATCAAACGAAACCGTACCCTAATTTATTCCTATCATTTGAATTATCTAGAGGAGGTTAGAATCGGTGATTGCTCAGGCATAAATTAACCATTTATTAAGTTTGATTCTGGATCTATTTGGAAGGAGTTCACTCTTAGGATGAGGTTATTTAGCGTACTGATACAAGGAATATACCTCAAAAATGGAAAATATTTTACTTTCAAACACTAATGGAAGGATTGGTACGATGTTAGGCAAATGCTAAACCGCGTCTCATCATTTTCTGCAATCAAGACCGCTAAATAGTTCAGCCGTCCATTTAAATTCTATTCTTTCCACGAAGTCGGTTTGCTGTTGTTATTATGCCTCACGGACTTCTTTGCTAGGTGTTTTCAGTTCAAGTTGGTGATTTTTAGCTTATACCTGTAAAATGGGACGCGGCAACAGCCAGCGCACATGTCACGTCGTCAGTCAGGACTCCGGGTACCAGCAGCGGTGATTACTTGGACCAACATGTTGTTATAAGCGGGCATCCAAAGATACAGAATACTTGAAACACAATTTGCATGGTGCCAGGACATTCATGCACATGGCTCTGACAAACTGAAAAGACGTAAACCTCTTGAAGACGCTTGTCACAGATGATCGGCCTGTGACTATCCCGGCCGTGGTAGTTACCAGCCCACAGCCTTGACAGTCATGACTTTGAACATTCAATACGTGAAATGCCTAGGCGAGGTACAACTCGTCCTTTAACGAATTCGTTAAAGGGATTAAATTTCTTTTGGAAATAGTGAAAACAGTTACTTAAAGACTTTTACAAGTACAAGAAGGTAGCACACACTGGGCCGCTTTAGAAGGTTTCAACCGCACTAACATGCCTTCGACACCCCAACTCTCTCCCCATGAGATGAACGCTGTAATACGTGCAGCGGACTGTGTCGGGAAATAAAGGTTGCTTCTAGTCATTGAAATTCGTTACCTTCTTCTATAATTCCAAACATCCTCTTTCGATTTAGATGGTCCTTGTACAAGAAGAAATTTTCTATCCATTTTTTGGGCCAATGGGGTGATCTCTATTACAAACGTGGTAGCGGCAATATTTTTCAACCTAAGTCTCTGTATTTCTTCCAAAGTCTAACAAAGTGTTCTCATTACAATTTTAAGAGTGAACAATTGATTGTAATAGTTCCTATAAACAAATTGAGGTGGTAAAAGCCATTTTAGTAAGGCTGTATAAAAAGCTAACACTTTTAAAGCTATACCTGAAGGTTGGGGACTATATGCGATACAATTCTAATCAAAATATAAAACATTTCGGATGAGTTTCCATAACTACCAGAAACCCTTAACAATACTTGTGTATGAGAGATGTGCAGATTAAGAACTACAGCATGTCAGTCAGAGCTGAATCAGGTAATGAAGCTAATGCAACTATGGTCTATCAAGAGACTGTTGCTTTCATTTTTTTGTCCCTAGACTATGCTGAAAGTTTGTTTGACATTATTCGTGAGATCATTGTACGTACGTACTACAGATCATTTATCCCAGAGGAGTGAAATTATTAATTACAGGAAGACTAGCGGCTTTTATTCATTAATCGAGTTATTCTCCTTAAGTTTGTTAAATTTCTTCCTTTGAAGATTGAATGCATCAGTCGTACTTATTTTAGTCTTAGCCCTATGTTTTTTTGTTCCCCATCGTCTCTCACGCGGGCGTACTCAAGTCGTCACCAAATCGCAGCCGACCTTGGTGGGTCATTTTGTGCCACCAAAATCTTGTCATCCCTTGTAGCTAGGGCTGTTTTTTAGCCTCCAGAGGCAGAAAAGTCGTTGAGCACATCTTTATTTTGGTCAGAACAAAGTCTAATATAATTTTAAAGTTCGTCCCTCCCTTGCCTAGCAGACCTCACAGGTCGCAGACACACACACACGCGTCCGCCTCAAGGGGGAACAAGGGAGGAGTAGCACAGTCGTCCGCTCGAGAGAGAGGCTTTAAAATCAACCCACCCCGAAGCATCGTCTCCTTGGGGGGAGCAAAAGAACCCGTTTTATGGGCTAGAGGAGGGGACACGCCTTGTTGGCTGCTTGGCTCCAGCCAGCGAGCACAGAAAGAGGCATAGGGAGAGGCGCAGAGAGAGAGGAAGAATAGAATCGCATCTCGGCCACCCCGAATTCACCGCTCCTCTCTGAAGTCCTCTCCTCTAGCCGTTGTCGCCGCGTCCTCCGCCATCACCATTGCTCGGATTGACACGCACGCGCGTGCAGGCGGGCAAACTAGCTAGCTATCGCGAAAATGGGGCGGCCAAGATTGACTTTTTGTTGCTGTCCCAAGCCTGATGGAACTCGCTTCAGCTACTGCGAGAGTGGTGAAAATTTTTTTCCCTTCTCTCTCTACTCTTTTCGCCTTCTCTTCCCTTCCATTTGAAGACGTAATTGTGCTTTAATCTTAGCCCTTCCTGCATGCTAATTTTGAGCTGCTCAGATGAAAATCATTGCTTGATGGTAGTGTGGAGTGAGAAGATCAAATCTTTAAAGCCTCTGACAATTTGTGGCAGGAACATCCAAAAACGTCAGATACTTAACAGTTCAAGTAAGATTTTCTTCTCTCTGAATAAATATATGAGGTGGAATAACCAAAATAACTCAGATTTCGCCTATTGATGATCTGGACATTATGTTGTTTTTCCATGGACTGACCATGATCTGCAGTGAGCTGTGAAGCAAATACCTTCTCCAAATGAAACTAAGCTTTTTCTCCTTCAGGTTCTACAGATGTGATACTTTTAAAATACTACCTTTTGCAAAAGTGTAATCACGTCCAATCTTGGCTTTAATTTTTCGTGAAATTACACATCATGAGCCTAACTGGGCGTATCTTCGGTGTTACAAGGCCATCCCTTAACTTATCCGAAAAGGTCTTTGAATTTAAGTCGGCTAAAGAGGATTGTTGGTTGGTAACAAAGAATGTCGTATTCGCAAGGTACCAAGACCTAACAGACTGGACTGGACATGGACAAATAAGATTTTTACTTGCATTTCCAGCTAGCACAATTAACTGTAAAGAAGTCATTTAAAAAAATAGACGTTGATTGCTAGTTCATGGGGTTGCTCTCCGTTGAGGAAAAGGAAAGCAAATGGCATATTATTTCGTTTTCTTATGGTACAAATATTGTAAAACGTTGCAGGTTAATTCAAATACCGACATCAAGAGTGGCTTATGTACAAGCTCCTGATATCAACAAAAACGCTCTTCAAAGCCACTGAGGCGTATGCTGTTACGCCTGTTGTTTGCCTTACTTGATGGCATGTCTTCCAGTTCAGCTTGTCAATGCAAGTGCGCATGCCCAACCGCCGAGAGTACTACCCATCAGGTAGTATTTAAGTCTTCATTATCTTCGCAAATTAATCGACACTTTGCGGTTGTAGTCTTTAAATACCCATGATTTACATGAAGAAATCATAAAAATGATTCTTGTCGAAAGCTCCCTCATTCACCGTTTTTGTGACTAAATGTCTATTAAAGTATTACACATTAGGTTCTTTTTATAAACAGACTTTTATTTATTCCTCTGGTTATACTTTTATTGAAAAATTTATATTTTTTGGGACATTTATCCAAAATATCAATTAGATATACAGTTTGTAGGAAGTCTTGCTGAATTAAGCTTAGAGGTCTTAACTTTTTCACGCGAATATCAATTCTCCATTCTCACTGCTACTTTACAAACCCCCAAACGGCACCATTTGCAGTACTGAGAAAATCCGTCTTTATGATTAAAATGTTTTCATTATATTAGATGTAAATGGTAAAATAGGCTATTGGGTACCTCAGATTCACCTGAGCAATATTCCCGATGATGCCGATTTGATTGCTAACCGGTCTAGTAGTTGCCCTCCCAACCTCCCCGTATGGCATTGAGGCTTATTATGGTCCCTGCTAGCATCCCGCGATTTCCCCTTTTTTAATACTGAAATTTAGCTATCATTATTTTTAGTCTCTTGATTTTTGTTGTTTTTAAGTGGAAGCTGAAATGCATCTTTTGTTTATTTAAGTTTTTGCTTTACACTCGCGAGTACTTTAGATTCCTCCCTTTTACCCCCTCAGCGCGTCATGGCCTCGCGGTCCATGCCAATAGCTCCTTAGCTCTTCTGAACCTTAAAAATACCCAGAGCGCTACGTTGGTGGTAGTGAAAAGCAAACCTGATCCTGAAGGACAACTGCTCTTATTTCCATTCCCAAACACAAAACCTTAACGTGACAGAAGAAGGACGTGTGTTGTGGATGAGAGAATCTGTAACGAGCCCCAGCAGAAGGACTGAAAATGGCGTCAACCTTCGACAGCCACGCCAGTCCTGCAGTCTGCAGGTATACCATTAAAAATGAAGCATCACTAGCCATAAACTATCTGGAAAAGTTCGTTACGGATCTGTCTACGCTACTTGTATGAGGATGTCAGTGAAGTGAACACTCTATACCGCCTTTATTTCCCTACTAGCTGAATAGAACCCAGATAGACGGGGCTGGGCGGGACTGAAGTGAGAACAGAGTAGCAAAGAGGAACAGGTGCGAAATCTTATCCTCACAAAACTATTTCAAGTTCTGCTCTTCATTAAATGACTCTGCTTTTAGCCCAATGGTCTTATGACAACCGGTGGGCATACGAGACTTTCAGCATATTCTCCCTCCCCCAATACAGTCCTCAAATAGGACCGGCGCGGTCGGTTCGTGGGTGTTTTTCTTCCACCATCGACTACATTGTGACGACCGACGCAGGAGCTTTACAAAAATGACCCTCATAAGGAATATTTGATTAACTCTTCGTTTTGGTGCCGTAGGTACTCAAAATTCGGCTGCTGCACTTTCGCCAGACGCAGTGGCCTTCAGGCCATTCCAGAAGTCCCCCCAGCCCTTCCGTACGCCGAGAAGACTTGTTGTCGAACGGAAATAAACAACAATATATAAATGGCTACTGCGAATCATTTCAACCACGGCGAATGGCAACCGGTTTGCTTTGTTACTTGGCCACTTCTAGAAGAGTACCAACGTGTTACGAAATAAGTCCAAATCTTGAAATCATCCATTGGTGGTGTAGCCTTTACCGCAAAGTATCGATTCTACATTTGCCGCATTTTCGTTCCATTTCTGCCGGTCAGCTTAACGAAATCCCACTAAAACTTTCGGAACATGCTCTTTAGTTAATCAGAATCATACAAAATTAGGGTTAAGAAATGACGCTTTAAAGACACGAAATAAATAATGGGTGCATGAGCTACGTAATCGTACTTCATTGAGCTCCGAATTTCATAGAGATCAACGAGAAGAGCTGGTTACAACAGCACTGTGCATGCACGATTGTACCATTACCATTTATGCATACAATATATGTATCCAAATGACTCCATTGAAATTCTGTGCCAAGAGTTTGATCTCTCTGAAGGTGTTTGTGATGCGCATCCTCACCATATGTCTGTAGTGACTATTCGGTATTTCAATTATACGTCTTATTGCACTCGAGCCCATAAGTACCCAAAAATCTTGCCCACTACGTGTGCCTAATTATTCACTTTCTCCTTCCTTCTTATTAACAAGGCGCATCCACTTGACCCTGTGCAAAAGCACCAATCCCCAGCCTCTTTTATATCCCGCCGCCTCGTCTGCGTTCAAGAGGCCTGACCCCAATCTCTTGCAGTGAAGTAAATCCAAGCAGATGCCAGAAAGAGGAAAAAGGATGCTATTAACAACCGTTAGTATGGCGGGGGGACAAGGGAAGTGGCGGGGCAAGACAGGTGACAAGCTGACCACCTACAATGCCAGCACAGACCTGATGGCAGTAGTACACCCACACTCAGTTTGATTACAGACCCCGCCGTGCTGCAACATCGGCAGAGGAGGTGCTTGGCCCCCACTTCTTGTCCTCTCCCTTCGTCCCCCTGTAATTGTATGTGTGGGCAGGTGCGTGCATGCCCGCTCACCAGTGTAAATGTCAAGGGGACTTGTCAGTCCATCATTACCTCCCCTCCTCTCTCACTTTCCTTTCTCCTCTCCAACGAAAGGCCGCACACGCATTGCCTACCTGTTGACAGGTAACGGAGCCTCAACTTGGGACCATACATTTCTCCTTTTCCTCCTCAGCCTGCCACAGCGGTAGTAATGTGCATTGACACGATGGCTCATAAGCATTTTGAGTGCCAATGAATTTAAAAGTTGTTGGCTACCACAGCCTGCTTGTTCGGCAATTAGACGTCACATGAATGCCTTGAAATTCCAACAAAATCCAAAAAAGTTTTTTCGAAAGTCCCAAAGCATACCATTAGTTAACGATAGCTTAAACTGATCAATTTTTTTCGTTGCCCTGAAAAGTAGTCGAAAATCGTGTAATGCAACTTCATGACTGATAGTGTTATGTGTAGTCGCCTAATAATATCACTTCTTTCGTAAAAAATGTGGCAATTAAATTTAGCTCAGGTTGCTGGTTTGTGTTTTCAAAGTCTTTCTTTAATCATCCATTTCAATAAAATAACGAATTCAGAGTTCTTGCTGCACAATGTGATGTACTTATTTTATGGACTTATAAATTTTTCTAAAACATATCTGATTAGGGTAAATGTGATTTATTGAAGATCACATGAATCCTCATGCTCCTTGGTCGGCAATGTTGGAGAAGCCAAATGCTTTGATGACGTTATCCCACTAAAGCAGTTCAAAACAAATAATTGTGTCAAAGATATTACAGGTGTTCAAAATGGCCTCCTGTTTATCCTGTTTACATGTAAGAAATCAGAATTATTATCTCACACATTCCACTTGATGAGGAATTTTTTTCTAAAACTAATCCCATTATTTAGCAGCTGCCGATTGAATGTAAAGATGTCGCTTGAATGGTACCTTATTTGCTTCAAAATTAATTAACGGTCTTTTATTCTATAGTCCTAATACTTTGTTCGTTTAACTCCTCGTCTTGGTTGCGCCACCCTTGAATGCTCCGCAATTGTGCTTCCCCTGGATGGCCTGGCCTGGAGGTCTTTCTGTACGTCGAAAGGTCTGGAGTGCTACAAAACATTGCAATGCGTGAATTGCTGAGCATTTTGCACCTATCTCCAGTTTTAAACATGCATTCATATCAAGTGAACGAGTTAAATGATTTGGTACGACTGTACCTGCCAGTAACACAACTTATGCATTAAATTGTTACAGTTCTCACTTTGCATTAATTGCTATAATACCCAAATAATAACAGAATTCAATGCCAATTCTCCTTGACTCTATCCTTAGCTTGGTGAAATTAACTGTATTTCGGTCCTCAAGCCGATGTCGTCGTTACAAGGGAAAGGCAATTTCGGAGGTAGGGTCAATTACTAAGGCGCTATCTCGAGGTCACATCAATTTTTAAGGCGGTCATTTTCAAATCAGGACTTGAAATCCCAAGAGTCCACTTATGTAGCTATCGTGTTAATAAATAAGACCACACTTACAAATTATTTTCATAAAAAAGAGCCAGTTTTACTAATCAGAATGCGTTGTCTAGTGCTCACTCTTGAGTTCAGGGCTTAATTGATTTGTGGGCTGATTATAGTAGTAATCAATCAAAAAATCAATACTCCCACGTAATTGGAGGATGAAGCAATGCCAGGTCGGGCTTAAAGTTGGCCCGGTGCTCACCAATCACGCCAAGTGAATGTTCCATTCTTACTTTTCCTCTCCTGCTAGGAAAAAAAATACCTTTTCTTAAGTTCTGGTTCCAATGTCCCCTCACCACAAAACCCAACAAAGTTGGTAAGTATTTAGCACTCCTTCCTCTTTTTCCTCATCTCTTGTGCGCTTCTGTTTCGGCAATTGAGGCAGTGACAATGTGTCAATCATGTGAAGAAGGAACGAGAAGTGTGTGTTTAGGGCGAAAGATAGAGGGTGTAGCGGTGATTACTTTCATCGCAACACTTCCGGAGGGCATTAGTTTTTTCCTCATCAATAGAACCAAAAAGCGATGGTCGATGTGTCAAGCAGTCCTCATCCTCAATTTCTATTAAGCTCATGCCTTTGGGCAGAGGGCAGAAAGAGGGGAACGGGAAAAAATGAGACTCCCCAGGGAGAAACACGCGGCGAGAGATGTGACATTTGATGACCGCCTGTCTGCTACTTCATCGCTCGTTGCTAACGTTATATCAATGTTGGCAGACTTTTACTCTCATAATTTGCAGATTATTTCCTCCAAAGTAATCAGATTAATGTTAGGCTTTTTCTAAGTACTCTGATCAGAAAATGCATTCTGATAAGCAACTTCAGGTACTGTCTAAAATTGCCTCTGTTTTTGTCACCTGTTCAAGGTCATTTACGGTGCTTAAAAGTTTTGAAAATTGTTGAAGTGTGAAAAACCTACAAATAATCCTCTGCTATGCAATCTAAGTTGCTTGTCGGAATAGGTGAATGATAAACGGTTTGCGTTAACAAGTCATTGTGCAATTGTTCGCCAATCATTGGATCATTAAATAACAGATATTCCATTGCTTAGCATACTTTAATTTCTCGGTTTTTTAAAGAAATTGTGAAAAGATCCACTAATCGTGTTTATAATCACACCATGGCTTATTTATGGCTGTGCTTTCGGTTCATATTATACTACCAAAAATGAATACAATCGGTTTGATAGATATGCAGTTTTCGTAACAGTAAATACTTGGATTGCGCCGGAGCACAGAAGTTGAAGAATGGTTTTTACAAGAGAATTAGGCAAGAAATAATTGCTTTCTGTGCTACAAAAGGCACCACTCTCCTGAAAAAAAAAAGCCACCATCGAGGGAGATGATGAATTGGGAATAGAGGGGCAAGGAACTGATCAGTCCTGTGAGGGTGCTTCTGGTTATGAGAGGAAAAAAGACTAGATTCTTTGGTTGTGCTATGCACCCCGCAGGGAGATTAGCGCAATTTTTCATTTGTAAATCTTTTCATTCTCACTTTGAGGAGTGTCTGCGATTTCTCTACTCCCTTAGGGAGAGTAATTGAACCATTGCTAAATATGCAGTTTCAACAAAGTCCCCATATTACCTAATAGGAAGATGAGGGTATTTAATTTGTTTCTTGGCCTTGGCTTGATTAAGAATTTAGACTAAAGTGCTAACCGGAGGGAATACATCCCACTAACGTGATGTCCTACCAATGTTTACCTTCATATTTTGAAACATCTTTATGTAATATACGGTAAAAATAGTAATTTTTGCTTCCATGTCTAAGGCTATGT